TTTGCGCTCGCCCGCCCGCGAAGGCGGCCAGGCGCGGCCGGCTGCGGTTTTTGCTCGCGCCCCTTCGGCCTGGGTCAGGGGCTGCGGCTCGCAGGCCGGATGGAGTTTAAGCGCGCTAGTAGAACCTCCTAGGGAATGGCAACCAGTTGCGACGTGCGGCCCGCCGACAATTGCACCGCGATCGGCCTGAACCTCGCAGCCGCGGCCATCGAGGCCATGCGAGTCACGGGGCTCTCTGCGCTCGTGGCCGCCATCCAGCGCGCGGCAGAATTCTTTTAGGATTGTGACAGCGACGGCGAACCGCTTCTCGTGAGGGGGGCCACGAGAAGGCGCACCGCCAGTTGCTGATTTGGCCAGATGCGCGCAAATACGTGGTCACGCTGGTCTCTAGCGACGACGTGGGCACCGAAGGCGGCTTCGTCACGTTCGTCCACAGAGCCTTGCCCTTTGGCGCCTTCGGTGCCGTTTGGGGGTGCGCGCGCGTAGGCGGGGGGTTTCGCCGCGCGCTGCAGCGCCTGTTCGCGGCCCTTCAAATGGCGTGCGTTGACGACTTCCTCCGCTCCTCGCTGCGCCGCCTCGCCGCGCTGCAGCGGTGGATTTTCGGTCAGCTGCGCAACCTGCTCGGCATTTCGCTCAAGGACGAGAGGGGGCAGGCCCCCGCGAGGTGGCGCGAGATCCTGGGCCTGGAAGCAGCCGCGGCAGCACGGTGGTCCGGGCTGTGGCTCGCCCAGAAGCGGCGGCCCCAGCTCCTGCAATCAGTGGGAGAGGCACTGCGCCTCTCGCGACTGACCGTCAGAGACGCGCCCCGCCTCGGTGGGCAACTTGGCTTCGGAAGCACCGCGCTCCTCGGCCGCGCTGGCCGCGCGTGCGCCCGGGTAGTCAGCTCCCGCAGAGGCGGCTGGACCGAGTAACTCGGATACGGGCTACGCTGGTGACGCGCGCTGCTGACCATGCCGCTGCGCTGCAACCGGGATCGCGATTGCAAGTTCCAGCAGGCGGTCGCATGGGCAGGCGGTTCATGGGACATGGGCGCTGGTGACAGCGCGCCGGGGGCCGTGTTGCTCACCGCCGACGGAGGCTGGAGCTTGTCAGCAGAGGTGCCCGCAAACCTGCGTGAGGAGTTGCGCGAGACTGGAAAGCGGCAGCGGAACGCCCGAGCTAATCCTGTGCGAAGACAACCAGGCGGCGCTCGAGAACATCCTGGCCGGATCCGCCGCGGATCCCGACAGCCGGTCCCTCGTTGCTGGAATGTGGCTGCTTGCGGCAGTCTTGCGGGTGAGCGTCTGGATCGAGCGTGTCGCCAGCGAATCCAACCCCGCCGACTGCTCCTCCCGACCTGGAGAGGAGGCAAAGGCGGAGGAAATGCGGCAGCTCTCCAGCATGCACCACCTGGTCGCGATCCCACCGCGATTGCCGTCTTCCTTGCAGACAGACCAAGCCCGAGACGTGGGCCGCGGCCGCGGCAGCCGCCCGCGCCCCCTGGAGATGGGCCGCGCGCGCCGAGCGCGCGAAGGCAGCCGCCCGCCTCGGCGTCGCCGACGGCGCCGCCGTCGCCAGCCCGCTGGGCCGGGTCGCTTGGGACGCGCGCGCGACAGCAGCGTCGCGCTGGGCTGGTTGCAGCTCCCGCGCAGTGGCATCGTCGCGCAGGCCACGCACTACCGCGAAGGATTTGCACAAGTACTTTGCATGGCGTTCAAACTGGCCTACCCTGGTCACGCGTGCGCGACCGTCGTGACGCGCCAGGGCGGGCCCCCTCAGTGGCCGCGAGCCGCCGCCGAGTGCATCGCCTGCCTGCGAGCCAGGGTCATCGGGCCCCAACTGGATTGCGACTGCGTTAACTGCTACGCGGCGCCGCGCGACGTGGGGTGCACCGATGTCGTCGCGGGCTCCTTTCGCGCCCCCATCGAGGGGGCGCGGGCTCTGCAGGACAGCGCCGGGCCGGCGCGCCGGAGCATCCCGTTGTGCGCGGAGCGCCGGGCGCAGCGGCGCACCGGCGCCCCCGCCGCTGGCAGCGCGGATGCCTCGGCGAGGGATAAAAACGGGGAGGGGAAAAAGAAAATAAGCAAACGGCGAGTCGCGGAGAATCGCGTTCGGGTGAAACCTGCCGCGACGACAGCGGTGTGGCGCTGGTCCTCGGCAGCGACGCGGGGGCTTCCAAGGCTTGTCCTGGGCCGCGTCGTCTTGCCGTCGCGCGCGCGGGCGCCCCTGAATCCCGCGTAGCGCGAACGCAGAGCCGCTGCCGCCATTGCGCGGGTTGGTGGTCCCTCGTGGCAGCAAAAGAGCCCCTGGGGCTGCGCCGACGTCGGCTGGCGCGTCCCCGCTGGCGGCAGCGCGCACGTGGCGCTTGGCCACGGCCGCTTGGAACCCAGCTCCGCCCAACTGCCCCGGGTCGCTGTGCGCCTAGGAACCAATGTGCGCCTTGCACCGGCGGGAGCGGGGCCAGGTGCTTCTGGGTTGGGGTCCTTGGGCGCGAGGGGACATCGGATAAATTCCTCGAATCAGGCCGACCTATGTGCGCTGGCGGGCGCGGTCCTGGGCCTGGGCCTGGGCGCGCGCGCCGCCCGGGCTGGAGGACTGCCCCCCGGGCCTGGGCGGCGCGCGCGGGGGCACTTGTGGCGGCGCATTGGGGGCTCGGCTCAGCCTGTCGCGCCCGGCTCTTGCTTCGCGCGCGGGCCTTGCGCTGGCTGAGTCCCCGAGCGCGGCGCCGCGCTCGCGCGAAGCGTCGTCCTGGGCGGGTTTGTCCGGCGCGCCTCGGGGCGCCCCCCCCCCCCGTCAGAGTCAATGGAAAAACGAGGGGCGGGGGGTAGTCTGGGCCGAACGCGCATCCGGTGGGGGGAAGGCCCGGCGACGCAACCTGCGGGGCGGACCGGGCCTCCCCACTGCCGCTTCGGCGAGGCTGCTCCACCCCTTGCTTCGGCAGTCGTCGTCGTCGTCGTCGTCGTCGTCGTCGTCGTCGTCGTCGTCGTCGTTGTCGTCGTCGTCGTCGTCGTCGTCGTCGCCGTCGTCGTCGTCGTCGGCGCCGCCCCCTCTGCCGGGACAGACCTAGAGCCAGCGCCCTGGTGACTCGCCGTGGGCCACCGTGTACGGGGGTTGGGCATGGGCCTGCGCGCCCCGCCTGCGCGGGCGCGGCTGGGCTCGTAACCGCCCCCTGCTCAGAGGCCTGGGGTGGGGCTCCAGGGGTCGAGGGCGCGGGTGTTTCCTGGGCGGGGAGGGTGTAGGTGGGCGGTTGCGTACACCCCCCTCCGCTGCAAGGGCAAGGATGGGATCGGGTGGGCAAGGGGTGGGGCGGGTGGGCAGACTGCCTCTCGCTTCGGGGCGCGCTCGCGGAGCTGGCTCAGAGGGCGCGCCTCGTGGGGGGTTCCCCCTTCCCTGTCATCGCGGTCGTACTCTGTCGGAGTCCGTGAAACTCCTTTCGATCTATTGCAACGAATTTGCGCGGCGCTAAGGCGAGAGCCGCATTTTGAAAACGACCCGCCCTCCATCTGTGAAACCTTGCTAATTTTCAAGCGTCGGGGCCATACTTCGCGAGGAAGTCTCACGCGAAACGCCCGGCCCGCCTTTTCGAGCGGCCTCGGGGTGCGACAGGGGAAAAGGTATTTATAATGAAAAGGAATGGAGGAAGAGGAAGAGGAGGAGGAGGAGGAGGAGGAGGAGGAGGAGAAAGAGGAGGAGAAAAAGGAGGAGGAGAGGAGGAGGAGGTCATGACGATGACATGACGATGACGATAAGGACGATGATGATTGTGATGATGGTGGTGCTGGTGGTCATGATGATGATGCTGCTGATGGTGACGACGAACATGGTGATGATGTTGATTTGGATAATGCTGATGATGTTGGTGACCAGGATTGCCAGTTCAGATCCTGCTGACCATGATGATGCTGAAGTTGATGCAGACGATGGTGATGCTGATGATGAACTTCATGATGTTGATGATGATGAGGACGGCGTGGATGATGATGACGATGATTATGATGTTGCTGACTATGATGATGATGATGGCAATGATGCTGATGGTGATCATGCTAATAGTGATGATGATGATGGTTGTGATGATGAAGCTGACGATGATGGTGATGATGCTGATGTGTTGATGATGGTGATGGTGCTGATGGCTGTGGTGGGAATGATGATGATGGTGGTAGTGGGAATACTGATGACGATTATGATGCTGCGGCTGGTGATTGTGATGATGATGGTGATGATGTTGCTGAGGATATTGATCGTTGTGGTGGAGGTGGTGGTGACGATGCTGATGCTGTTGCGGTTGCTGTTTTTGTTGATGAAGATGATGGTGATGCTGCTGATGATGATGATGATGATGATCATGATGATGGTGAAGATGATGATGATGCTGATGATGATGATGATGATGGTGATGATGGGGATGCTGATGCTGCTGATGATGGTGATGATGATGGTGATGGTGGTGGTGGCGGTGGTTGGATGATGATGAGGATGAGGATGATGATGATGATGATGATGATGATGATGATGATGACCATGCTGATGATCATGATGATGATCATGATGAGGATGACGATGATGGTGATGATTATCAGGATGATGGTGATGACGATTTCGATGATGATGCTGATGATTTCGATGATGATGATGATGCTGATGATGTTGATGATGACGATGATGATGCTGATGCTGCTGCTGCTGCTGCTGCTGATGATGATGATGATGATGATGATGATGATGATGATGATGATGATGAGGTTGAAGCATAGTAGGAACAGGAGGAGGAGGAGGAGGAGGCGGTGCAGATAGAGAGAGAGAGAGAGAGAGAGAGAGTACGTATACATTGCATGAATGCCGTGGCCTCTCCCACCTGAGCTCATCTATGTCCGAGCGCTTCTCCGCAGCGGCTCACTCACTCAGCCCCTGGGACCAGAAGGGTCATTCCCGTTTTGTCATGCTGTCCCTCCCACCGTTTTATTCCCGCTTCCCCGCTTTTTTTTGCCTCCTCCTCCTCCTCCTCCACTTGCCCCCAGGGCCTGAAAGGCTGCATCGTGTACACCAGCTCCAGCGCTGGCTTCATCCCGAACCCTTTCGCGGCCATGTACGGATGCACCAAGGCTTGCGTGCCGCCCTGGAAGGGGGGGGAAGCTGTGGCGAGAGGCGGCAGGTCTCGCGTGGCGACGGGTCCCTTCCTCGCCCATCGCTCCCCTCATCTCCTGTCCTCCCGCTCCTGCTCATCGCCCCTTCGTCGTCGTCGTTGTCGTCGTCGTCGTCGTCGTCGTCGTCGTCGTCGTCGTCGTCGTCGTCGTCGTCGTCGTCGTCGTCGTCCACCCTCAACCTTTCCGAGCTCGCAGAGCTGGAGTCACGGCGGGCCCCCGCGTGGAAATTGGCACCCAAGCGTCGCTAGCGGGGAGAGGTCGAATTTATGGGCTGGACTTGGGGCCGTCTTGATGCTCCCTGGGTGCCGTTTTGAGAATTGATTGGGGCTGTTTTGGGCGCTGTGGGGCCTCCGTTTAGGCCTCTCGGGGCCATGTTGGCGTCCTTTTGGGGGTCTGGGGGCCGTTCTTGGGGCCGTCTGGGCTCATACTGGGTCCCTCTTGGGCTGTCTCGGGGCCTTCTTGGGCCGTCTATGGCATCTTCGGGAACCCTCTTGAGGCGCCCTGCAACCCTCCTGGGGTGTCTTGTGGCCCTCTTGGGCCCTCTCATGGCCCTCTTGGAGTTCTTTTCTGGTCCTTTTGGGCAGTCTTGGAGCGATGTTGGGGGCGCCCTGGTCCATCATGCGCACTTTGACGGCCGGATCGGAGAGAATGCCAGTGCTTGGTGGGGTGCTTTGGAGCCGTCTTGGGAGCTTATCGGGCCGTCTTTGGTTGTTTTTGTGAACTCCTTACGGCCGGTGCCGCCGCGAGATCACGAAGCTGTGCTTTTTGCCTCGCAGGTGGACGTACCAAGTAATGACGAGCAATTCCACGGCTTCAAAGAAATCGCAGATGTCGTCTTCGAGCCCGAGTCCCCTCTCTGCGTCAGGGGCTCCGGATCGCCCTCTTTCTCATAATCTCAGCAAGAGCCTCTCATTGTCGTCGGGAGATGCGTCCGCGGAGGGAGGCCCTGGCCGTCGTGACGCGCCGCGAGCGGACGCAGACAAGGCGGAAACGGACGCGGAAAAGTGTGGGTCGAGCGACGTGGACGAGCAACCAGTGCCGCCCGGCGTTCATCAAACCTACGTGGTTTCTTCCAATTCGGATGGAGGCATGGGCGATCGCGTATCCGTCTCGCCGGAAGAGGAGGGATCAGTCCAGTCGACCTCCCGCCTGGATTGGATGACGGCGGATTAGTCTCCTCCGGGGGTGAATCCGAGTCCAGCGGTCTCGGGTCATCCCCGATATCGGCTCAGGGCTCAGGGGCTGTCGCCGACGTCAGTGCCTTTCGACGACTGCGTCGCAGAAACATCGCGGGGGGACCTGCGCGGCGAGATGGCGGAGATGATGGCAGGCATGCCTGTGGCCGCTCAGCAGACCGCCGAAGAAGCAGCTGGGTCGAGAGTGTCCGCGGCGAAGCAACCGCGGGGGGCCAGCAGCTTGTCAGTCAGATCTCCGCTCGTGAAGCGGACCAAGACGGAGTGGATGTTGGAGGGTAACCAGGTGCTCGAACTAGGGGGCGGCCCCAGGGGATGTGCTTCTGGGTCGCCTCCCTCGCCGGTCATTCCGCGCTGGACCTCGCGTGCTGGGCGCCTGCGCCGCAGCGCGGCGCGGGCCCCCGACCCCCGCGCTCGCCCTCCGCGGGCCAGGGGCGCGGGGCCCAACCGACGTGGGACCTCGATGGCCCCGTCGGTTGCATCGTCGTCCGGGCGAAGGCTGAGGTGGGCATCTCGGCGCGGAATGCCGAGATAAGAGCGCCGCTGTCCAAGGGGAATTAGGGGGCGCAGCGCGCGTAATTGCGCCAGCTGCAGGCTGAACTTCACGCGCGACAGCTGTCGGAGTAGCTAGTTTCCCAGATGGGCCGTGGAGCTGCGAAGCCCGTTGCGGTCGACGCGGCTCCTCCGCGGGCAAGACCCGCGCGTGGGTGGGCTATGGTGTCTCTTGCGCAATAGAGCTGCGGCCCATTCTTGCGCGCGGTGCACGGGGTCTTGCCGCGGCGTTCACTAGTTCACTACGGTGCGATTGGAAAGGAATGCGTCGCTTGCGTCGATGACTCAGCGGGGAAGGGCAGGGGAGCTGAGAGAAAACTTGAGAAAGAAGAGGAAGAGGAGCGCGAAGCGAGACGGAAGCTCGAGGAACGGATCGCCACCGAATCCGCGCCTGGAGCGGGGTCCTTCGACTGCCCGCCGCTTCCCGCGGCGTCGCGCGACTGGGTGGCGAGCGCCTCGGAGCGCGCGGACGAGCGGAAGGCCGAGGCGATGGCGTCTCCAGACGATTGAATGCCATCGAAGATTCTGCCAGGGCTGAGCACCAAGAAGCTCTCGGAGATGCTCGCGGGAGCTATGCGGGGCGTGGGGGGCCGCGCCGGCGCGAAGGCCAGGAGGCAGGAGCTGCGCGCTGAGCGGCGCGCGGTGGGTGCTGCCGCCGCTGAGGAGCAGGCTCAGGAAGAGGGGGGGGGGGGGGGGGCAGCCGGAGAGGGGGCGGGGCGCCGCTCGCAGAAGGAGAGGACAGCAGAGCGCGCTCAGGCGGTTCCAGCTGCCTCTCCCCCCGGCTGGAATCCGCCTGGCCCTGGGGATCCCGGCGGCGGCGACGGCGGCGGGGGCGGCGCCCTCCAAGGGGGGGCCAGCCCAGGCAGCGCTGGCAAAGCAGCGGCGCGACTCTGGCCCGCCAGGAGATGGCGACGATGATAAAGATGACGACTGGGATGAGGGCCCCGGCGATTCCGGGGGCGACGAGGACGAGTCGTCCGACGAAGAAGATAGTGAAGAACGAGACCGTCGGCGCGGCCGATGCGATGGGTTGCCGGGAGGTTCACCTCGCGGCGGCGGCGGAGGCGGCGCCTTCCCCGCCGCATTGCGAGGCATTGCTGCTCACTGGGGCGACGTCGGCAAAACGGAGGAGGTAGACGTGGAACCTATCCCCGACGCGGCCGGCTATAGAACGTGGAGTAGAGGCGCGGCCCGCCTCGCTCGTCGCGTCGCGCCCCCCCAACTGGCGGCAGGCCGCGGAGTGGATCCTGGAAGCGTTCGATATCGGAAGGCCAAGGCCGAGGCGTTGCAGGGCTCTCCAGTAGAGCAACCGCGACTAGGACATGCTCGTCGCCGCGGCCCCCGCTCGCGGCGGCGGCCGCCGATGTTCAGCAGCCCCTCGTTGCGACAGTCGCGTCCGCGGCGGCGGCTCGCGGTCAAGGGCCGAGCGCGGAGGTGTTGCGACGGCCCGAGGGGGGCAAGGACCAAAACGTTTGGCCTCCACTGCTCGCGCGTGGTGTAGCAGGCTAGGCCGAGCAGTCGGGGGGTCCGACGCTCGCATCGTCGCCGGTGGCAGATGGCCCCGAGCCAAGGGCCATTATGTTGGTAGAGACAGGGGGGCAGATGCATGGGGGGGCGGAAGTGCGAAGGAGGGTCGGGCAATCGCGTTGCCCGCCCCCCGGGGGTCTGTCGCGCGAGTCTGCGATTGTTCGATGCCGGTCCTCCAGGACATGACTCTCGCAGTTGTCTGCGCGCTCCCTTGTTCGGGGCAGAACTGGATCCCTATGCGGTCTCATCTTGATCATCATGCAATTGGCAGTGTGCAGTGCGGCGAAAATGCGTCGCGTGACGAGCTGAAGCGCCGCTGCGTGGCGGGGTGCTCCGAGTGCATTCCGCGCGCCGCTCGCGCCAATCGCGCGACGGATAAGCAGATCCAATGCGCCGATGAGACGGAGCGCGCCGGAGACCGATGCTCACTACGGCTGTGGAGATCACCGCCCGTGCATCGCCGTTGGCGGGTGCCTCTTCGACGCCGGGAGGGGCTCCACTCTGGAGGGGGGGCCATCGTGAGCGGCGCGGTCGCTGCCATCAGTTGCATGGCCTGCGTGGGCGCGGGCGGCGGCGGCAGCGGCGGCGCGCGACGCCCCCGCGCGCGGGGGCCCGAACAGCAAGCTCGCGCGCCCTGTCGACGCTTGGCGCGTGAGGGAATTACGCTGTCAGTGGCGAACTCCGACCTCAATGAGTTTCGCCGGGCGGCCTACGTCCCGTCTCGCTTGGCCGGCATGGCTCGCGCGTGCGTGGGTGCGTGGCCGCCAGATGTCTTCGTGCGAGGTGGCCATGTCAATGGTATCCCAGTGCCCCAGTGCCGCCCATGACCTACCTGAAGTACAGCCCACCCGAACGGTGGGGCCAGCTTGGAGAGGAGGAGCGCGATCGGGCAGCATCGGCTTTGATGAACTTCAACCGACTGCTTCGGGAGCGCATCGACGACCTCCCCGCCGGGTTCGACATCCTCCGCAACAGGGCGCAGCAGGCCGGTGAGCGCATGGTCGGCTATGGGGGTCTGAGCTACCCTTCGCTGCGCGCGGCGGGCGCGGCGAGCTTTCAGCTCGCCATGGTTCTGCAGCGTTGCAACTTGGCTTGCCCTAGTGGCCCGCGACAGCTAGCGCGCATCGTGGGCCAGCTACGCCGATTAGCATATGAGGCTCGCTTGGCAATCTCGCCTCGGCTGTGAATTCGTCGCGACGCCATGCGTTTCTCGTGTGTGCGCCCTCGCGCGATCAGGATCAGAGCGTCTATGGCGCTGGGGCCGATCAGAGTGCCTATGGCACTGGGGCCCGATCGAGCTGGGATGGCATGGTTTTTCTCAGCCCTTGGAGCGGCGCCGAGTCCGCCTGCCGCCCCTGTGGCAGCGCGCCCAGCAGCGGGTTCTGACGCTGGCGCCGGCCCCAACGGCACCGGCTCGTTCGGCGAGGGGGCTTCTGCCGACGATCCCGAATTGCGCGAAGTTCCCGCAGGACAGCGCGGCGTGCTTTTCTGGCGTGCGATCGCGCCAAATCTCGATGGCGCCGCTTCGACGACAATGAGCCCATCCGCCGCGCGCGGAGGGTCATCAAACGCAGGGGCAGAGGCCGCGGAAAAGGCCACCGCGCCTTCCTAGCAAGGAAGCGAAGATAAAGGAAGGTCAGGCGACCGAGGCACGGAGGCAAGTCGTAGAGAACCATCGCGACGACT